AACCGTTATTTTGTGTCAAAAGATGTCACCTTTGATGAGTTGTCTCTTTATTTTAAAAGTCAAACTTCACCTCTGTCTCCATCCAATCTTGTCAACACTCCTAATACATTTAATGTTCCTGTTGTTTGTGACCCTCTAACTGTGTCTTCTTCACCATTAGTTCCTGCTCCGCAGTCAGCTTCTTCTCCACTGCCTCTTCAGATTTATAGTTCTCGAAACCAATCACAACCACCACCATGTGACTCTACTCAAGTGCCAACTACTCTGTCTCCTCCGGATCGACACATGAGTCCGACCTTCCCATTGCCCTCCGAAAAGGTATTCGTTCTACACGTAATCCCTCTCCCCATTATATTGCTTTGAGTTATCATCGACTGTCATTACCTTTTTATACATGTCTTTCCTCTATTTCTTCTGTGACCATTCCAAAAACTGTCCGTGAAGCTTTAGCCCATCCTGGTTGGCGACAAGCCATGTTAAATGAACTAAGTGCTCTTCATAATAGTGGAACTTGGGAATTGGTCCCGTTACCGTCTGGGAAATCTGTTGTTGGTTGCAGGTGGGTGTTTGCTATCAAAGTTGGACCTGATGGTACTATTGATCGCCTCAAAGCTCGTCTTGTGGCCAAAGGTTATACTCAAATTTTTGGGTTGGATTATGGAGATACCTTTTCCCCTATGGTAAAGATGGCTTCTGTTCGTTTATTTATCGCCATGGCTGCTCTTCAACAATGGCCTCTTTATCAACTGGATGTTAAAAATGCTTTCCTCAATGGTGATTTGCAAGAAGAAATATATATGGAGCAACCTCCTGGGTTTGTTGCTCAGGGGGAGTCTTCTGGGATGGTATGTCGTCTTCGCAAATCCCTATATGGCCTAAAACAGTCTCCTAGGGCTTGGTTTGGAAAGTTTAGCAAGGTTGTTCAACAATTTGGTATGACTCGGTGTGAATCAGATCATTCTGTCTTTTATCGACACTCGAGTGCTGGATGTGTTTACTTGATAGTATATGTTGATGACATTGTTCTTACAGGTAGTGACAACCATGGCATCTCTCAGTTGAAACAACATCTCTGTCACCATTTTCAGACCAAAGATCTTGGCAAACTTAGATATTTCTTGGGTATTGAGGTGACACAGTCCAATGATGGTATTGTTATATCTCAGAGGAAGTATGCCATAGATATTTTGGAGGAAACTGGGTTGATGAGTTCAAAGTCTGTTGATACACCCATGGATCCCAATACTAAACTTCTACCAAATCGGGGGAGCCTATATCGATCCTGAGCAGGTATAGAAGATTGGTTGGAAAATTGAATTATCTTACGGTTACTCGTCCCGACATTTCCTTTGCGATCGAGTGTGGTAAGTCAATTTCTTAATTCACCATGTGAAGATCATTGGAATGCGGTCATTCGTATCTTGAAGTATATTAAAGGATCTCCTGGGAAAGGATTGTTATATGGTTCTAATAACCATACAAGAGTTGTTTGCTACTCGAGATGCTTGATTGGGCAGGATCTCCTTCGGATAGAAGATCTACATCTGGATATTGTGTCACCATTGGTGGTAACTTGATCTCATGGAAAAGTAAGAAACAAAGTGTTATGGCAAGATCCGAGTGCGAAGCGAGAATATAGAGTTATGGCCTCGGCTTCCTGTGAACTTGTTTGGCTCAAGCAATTGCTTAGAGAGTTACAATTTGGAGATGTCACTCAAATGACACTTGTGTGTGACAATCGAGTTGCTTCTTCATATTAGTTCTAATCCTGTCTTTCATGAGAGGACCAAACACATTGAGATTGATCTGTCATTTTATTCGAGAAAAGATTATGTCCGGAGATATCAAGAGCTGAGTTTGTTAACTCAAGTGATCAGTTAGCAGATATTTTTACTAAATCTTTACGGGGTCCTAGAATTGATTATATTTGTAACAAGCTTGGCACATACGATTTGTATGCTCCGAGCTTGAGGGGAGTGTTAGATATTATTTGATATTGTTAAGATATTGTTAGATATTGGTAACCACAATATCAAATAATATCTTCTGTTTATTCTGTTACTTTCGAGTTACTCTTTTAGTTGTATCTCTCTACTATAAATAGACCACCCTATGTGTGATTTATACACAAGGGAAATTAATTCCAAACCCTATTTTCTCTATATTCAACAATCATATAATTTTATAATTATAAAAATAAATTAATTAAATTTAAATTATTAATTATAATTAGTTATTTTAATATATAAATATAATATTTTTAATTTAGTTGATAAAAAATTAATTTATAAATAAAAAATATAATTAAAAATATATTATAAAAAAATAAATCTAAACAAATATATTTATGAATCTACCGTTAATTTATTATTTGATAAGATAGACTAAAATTTATAGTAGAATTATTTGAATAATCCTTTTATATTGATTAAAAAGGAGAAATATCAATATATATCATTCCTAATTTATATATAATTTAAAAAAATACGATGATTATTTTATGCTTTTAAAATAATTAGTATTAATTTATACAAGTATTAACCCCTTCATAATAATTTAATTAAACATTTTATAAATCAACTAAAATTTAATATTATAAAATATTATAAAATTTAATATTAGATATGATGAATCTAAGAATAGTAAAATATTGTAATATTTTTACTAAATCATCGAAATATGTTTTATGTGCCAAATTATACTAGACAAATAGTCACATAATTCCAATATTATTATAAGAGAATGGTTAGAAATCAACATTATTATAATAAATTAAAAATCGTTGAAACGTGATTAAGCCCATATGTATTGAGAATAGGTGAGATTGTGAAAAATAACAAGGTAATTAAATATTTACTCTTAGACATTTTATGGATATGAGAGCTTCATCAAACTTTTATTCCTTCACATGAAAAGATATTTAACTTACACTTACATGTGATTTTTTAGACCTAGACCTTGCAAATTGCAGTACGATTAAAAATGAAAAGACCTTGATGTCTTTTTAAACAAAATAAATATCTATTTTGATATTTTTAAATAAAAATATATATTTTTCTTAAGTCACCAACTGCATTACAAATACTACTTATGTAACTGATAACATTTTCGTAAAAAAAATTGTGAGTGTTACTAAAATAATAACATAACAAATTACTTTTATATTTTCTTCGCTAAACTATTGGTTTAAATCAAATTTTATTTTAGTCTTATAATGTGTCTACTTTAGTCTTTTAAGTATATATTTTATATTTTAAACCCCTCAATTTTGAAAATAACTTGTTAATCTTTCAAATTAATTTCTGAAGTCCCTTATTTAAATGTTTCTTAGTCTTTTAATTGGAAATAATTAATTTTGATTCTAAAGTTAGTTAACTTTAGAATTATTATTTGAAAAAGATGATTTCAACCGGCGTTTGAATTATTATTTTTTAACAGAAGTGAGAATGATTGTTACTGTGATCACCACCAGGATATATAATCCTTTTAGGTGTGATCCTTTTAATTTAATTAGATTTTTAATTTAATATTAAATAATAGCATATGCCAATTGAAAGTGTGAATAAAATATTGAAAGCGGAAATTAGTAGTAATAAGAAGAATTTTCCTACGTTTTAAAAAAAGATTTTGATAAAAATTCAAGTTAATATTATTCAATATTTATGCAAGCTCAGATATTAGATAGAGTATTAATACACTGAATATGGAAGTAAGTTTATAAAGTAGTATTATGCATTAGTCTCCAAAACATAAATGTGAACTAATTTCGTATTATGATATTTTTCACTGTCAAAATCGATTATGAGAGATTCATAATTGATTATGCCAGCAAATGAAGCAATTGTTTCCGAAAATTCTCTATCATAATCGATTATATAAATATCATAATAAATTAAATTAACTTTACCTTTATCATAATCGATTATATAAATGTCATACTTGATTATGATGTATCAGAAATGATAAATCAATTTTGCCTCAGTCATAATCAATTATGCAAGTAATATAATCGTGTTGACAAATTTTGGGTCATGTATATATATGATACATATTTAAATGTGTTAGGGTCATTATTTATTAAGCCAAATAATAAAGTGATCTGAATAAATTAAAGTTTTGGCTAAAGACATATGTCATGAAAATATGATTGTGTAGAGACCATAGAGTAATTTTTAATTTGATGAGGGGCCAAATTGAAAATACTAAAACTTAAGTAATTAACCTAATTTTGGTTATATAAAGGGTCATGGTCCCCTTCTGAGAGCACACAGACAGAACACAGTTACAGTCCCGTTCTTTTCTTTCTATCCCCATCAAGAGAGAAAATCAAGAGGGAAATACAGGTGCTCTTCAGGTGGAAGACCATAAGATCAACTCAAAAGTGCTCTACAAAGGATATTGTCATTATGACCAATTCAGGTACGCTTTCGCATTTAGTTTATAACATGTTTACAGTATGAGATTATTGATATATGTTTGATCATTAGAATAAAGATCATATTCAATTAAAGTTTAACCTAACAATTGGTATCAGAGCAACCCATACTTGATTCATGTTTGCATTTGGAAATTAGATTTAACAAAATTGAGATTTAAGAATTCACGTAGAGAATAATCTCCAAAGAACCCTAAATTTAAATTTGGGGTAAAATCCCCAATTTTAAAACCTAATTTCGAATTTGAGGGTGAAATCCCCAAACTGCTTCTACTCGTGGAAGAGACACTGCTCCTTCGTCTTCATTGGACACTGGATCACGAGGCAAGTGTTTCGGAGGCTGATTCCAGCAACAAGCGGCTGGTGCTCGCACTGTATGACGCCCTAAACTCCGGCGATTCCACCGCCGAAACCTTCCGATTCATTCCGCAATCCATCGCCGCCTTTGGCTCTACTGTCATCGTCGAGGACTGCGACACTGCCCGCAACATTGCCTGGGTTCACGCCTGGACCGTCACGGATGGGATAATTACTCAGGAGTTCATGGCTAATTCAGATTTGAGTGATGTATTCTGGCGTTCTGAGAGGGTTAGGCAACGATGATGATGAAACTGTGGTGTTTGTGTTAACGGTGTTAAGAGATAGGGTTCTTGTTGTGGAGTCGTTGGTGCCGCCAGGGCTTCGGAGTGTGTTGTTTGGGAGTGCTACGTTGGAGCAGTTGGTTGAGGTTTGTGGAAGGGAGGGTGGTGGTGATGCTTCTGAGGTGGTGTTTGGGGTACTTGTTCGGGTTTGTACTGATCCTTGCAATGGTTTGATGCCGGATTCAAAAATGCGGTTGAGGGGCAATACTAAGAGGGTCTTAGACCTCATGAAGAAGCTCCAGGTGACGGAAGTTCAGTATCATAGGGACTTGTTTTTGCTATTGTTGAGTCCAAGGCTTCTTTTGGGTTGTCGTATTTGAAGGAGTTTCCTTACAACATTGAGAATTTTAAGTCTTCTTCATGGATTCCTGCAATATTTGTGGCAACTCAACTAGTTTCGTTGGTTGGTAATGACATTTCTAAGGAATTTATCGATTCCCGATCCAAGGTTCCACGCCTGTTGGATAATATGGATTTGCACAGTATTGTTAAATGCATGTTTCCTCGTCCGTTCAACAATGCATATGATGGTATTAATGTCATGGGACCCGCTGCCTTAATTAACAAGCCATCATACGTGGTATGTGTGGACAAGAAGGTGAATATGATGGAGTTAATGTCATGGGACTGCCTTAAATAAAAAGTCATCATACGGCATTGTAGTACAATTTGATGTATTGCTCCCATAAATGAATCGTAGAAGGAAATTTGAAAGAGACTATTTGGCTAATTCAGATTAAGGGATTAATATTTAAAAAAAAAAATAATTACAGTGGTGGTCCGCGCCATTATAATTTTTTTTAAATAAATAATTAAATTTTGGTTTTGTTATATAATATTCAAATTTTTTTGGTAGTTTAATATTTTTTGTGAGCAAATTGAGTCAAGAAGTTACCAAAGTAACATCTCTTGAATTGGGTAGTTCGTGAAAAATATTGAATATTAGTGTTTGTGTATATTCATGCGAGTATTAGTCAGCCCAAAGGAAGATTAATATTTGGCCAAATTGCATACATACTTGTAATGATAAACATGTGATAATTATAAGGATTTGCTTTGTCGATGATAAATCAATCCAAAGACTGGTTTGTTGTTGGGCGTGCTTTATTGTCAATGTTTGATTATTACAACAAGATACCTCTAGCAGTTAATATTATTGTCCAAAGACTTGATATTGATGGTGCATTGGGTGTCTTGAGATGGATTAAACCATTATTTGAATATATATATTTTATTTATAATTATTTATTTTATAATGTGAGCATAATTAGTTTATTTCTTTTGTTCTAATCCAACTACAATTGCTTTTGTATCTCGCAAATTTGAATTCGTTCCGATCCTCAATGGAACAAATTTTAAGGACTTGGAAAGAGAATATTGATATTATTCTTGGCTGCATGGATATGGATCTTGCGTTAAGGATCGAGCAACCCCCTACTCCTACGGATTCAAGTACCTCCGAACAAAAAAGAGATTATGAGAAGTGGGATCGCTCAAATCGCATGAGTCTAATGATCATTAAGCGCGACATCCCGGAGATGTTTAGGGGCACTCGTTTCGAAAACATCACAAGTGCCAAAGAATTTCTTGCTGAAATTGAACAGCGCTTTGCAAAAAGCGATAAGGCGGAGGCAAACACTCTTCTTCAGAACTTGATCTCCATGAAATATCAGGGCAAAGGAAATATCAGGGAATACATTATGAGCATGTCTAATATTGTTTTTAAGCTCAAGGCACTAAAGCTTGAACTCTCAGAAGACTTGCTCATTCATTTGGTGTTGATTTCTCTTCCCGCAACATTTAATCAATTTAAGGTATCTTACAACTGTCAAAAGGATAAATGGTCTCTTAATGAGCTCATTTCTCATTGCGTGCAAGAAGAAGAAAGGCTAAAACAAGACAAGACAGAAAGTGCTCATTTTGCAAGCACCTTTAAGGCTAATGGCAAAAGAAAGAGATCGGAGGATCCCAAGAAGGAAGCTGCTAAAGGTCCAGAACAAAAGAAACAAACTCAAGAAAATAAATGTTTCTTTTGCAATAAGACTGGACACATAAAGAAGCAATGTGCTAAATATCATGCTTGGCGTGAAAAGAAAGGGTTGCCTAAACTACCGGAAGCCAACTAATTCTGAAAGATGAATATACGTTGAAAATGGCAAATTGGTGGAGATAGAGACTATTGAACATTTTAGATTATTATTGTGTACTGGTTTTTTATTTTAGATTTAAAAGACATTTTTTTTGTCGTGCCGTCTTTTAGACGGAATTTGATTTCAGTTTCTTATTTGGACAAATTAGGTTATTTGTGTTCATTTGGAAACAATAAGTTCAGTTTGTCTTTTAATTCAGATATTGTTATAATTGGTTCATTTTTTGGCTAATGATAATCTATATTTACTTGATACTGTGGTCACCTATAATGCAACTCTTAATACAGAATCTCGTGGTTATTCTGAAAGAGCCAAGGGATATAAATTTTATGATCTCACATTAAAGACAATTTTGAGATGGGAACTATTATGTTCTTTGAGGATATTGAGTTTGGGGGGAAGAATAAGATTAAGAATTTTGTATTGGAGGAAGAATCGACAATAAATCCAGAACCGATTCAAACAGTTACTTTTGATAAAGTAAGTTCGGAACCTCCACAAAACATTGATGATAAACCCCATATTCAAGATGATTTGATTGTTCGTCAAGACCAAACTCAAGATCCTCAAGAACCTGTGCGTCATGAGCCGGCGATAATCCAGTTACTAAGGGAGACAAGTTTAGTCTAAATTAGTGCCCAAAGAGGAATTTAGAAATTGAGGAAATGCAACAGATTCCCCATGCATCAGCTATCGGGAGTTTGATGTATTCCCAAATATGTACGCGTCCAGACATAACATACATAGTTGGGGTTCTAGGTAGATATTTAAGTAATCCAGGAATAGACCATTAAAAAGCATCAAAAAGAGTCATAAGATATTTGAAGAGAACAAAAAATTATATGCTCACATATAGGAGGTCAGACCAGTTGGAGATCGCTGAGTTTTCTGACTTAGATTTTGTAGGATGTCAAGAATTTGTAACATACTATAAGACATCAAATCATGGAATATGGCTGAGAAATTTTGTCACAGGACTGCAAATTGTGAAAGGCATTGAAAGACCACTTAAGTTATATTGTGACAATAAATCAGTTGTATTGTTAAGGAAAGAGTACAAAGTGGACAGATTTTCATAGAACACTTAAGGACAAACTCCATGATAGCATATCCTCTAACTAAAGGACTTCCGCCCAAGGTCTTTCATGAGCATATTGCTCACATGGGTGTTTTACAGTTTGAGAAATTTGTGGTTTAGTGGGAGTTAGTCATTTTCATATATTTTATGTTCTATGTTTAATTTTATATATGTATACATTATTTTTTTGGACATATTTGGTTATCTATAGATATGCGGTTTTCTTGTTCATTCATTACACTTTGTACATTAAGGTTATTGTATCGATCTCGATAAGTTAAAGTTTGGACCAGTTGAAAATAGACGTGTACAGATCACCTTCACGTAATTTTTCATGCTACACATTTCATGATGAATCCATGTCATTTGGTTATGTCAGGATGAGTAATCTTGTTGGTTTTAGTTGTGATGATGCAATGAAAAGCTGGTTTGGTTCTATATCCTGATATGATTAATGGACAGGATTTTTGGAATATGCTAAAGGAATATAATGACAATTTTGAGCTCATAAAGTCTAACACATTTGTAAGGTTGTAAAAACATATATATTTGTGACCAGTGGGAGATTGTTGACAAATTTTGGGTCATGTATATATATGATACATATTTAAATGTGTTAGGGTCATTATTTATTAAGCCAAATAATAAAGTGATCTGAATAAATTAAAGTTTTGGCTAAAGGCATATGTCATGAAAATATGATTGTGTAGAGACCATAGAGTAATTTTTAATTTGATGAGGGGCCAAATTGAAAATACTAAAACTTAAGTAATTAACCTAATTTTGGTTATATAAAGGGTCATGGTCCCCTTCGAGAGCACACGAGCGAACACGATTACTGATCCGTTCTTTTCTTTCTATCCCCATCAAGAGAGCAAATCAAGAGGGAAATACGAGTGCTTCTTCGGTGGAAGACCATAAGATCAACTCAAAAGTGCTCTACAAAGGATATTGTCATTATGACCAATTCAGGTACGCTTTCGCATTTAGTTTATAACATGTTTACAGTATGAGATTATTGATATATGTTTGATCATTAGAATGAAGATCATATTCAATTAAAGTTTAACCTAACAAATCGATTATGACACTTCAAATTTGAAAAATATATCCATTTTTGAAAGATAATAGCAATTGAAAACATTCTGATTTTTCTCCAAATTATTGAGCAACAACCATTTTTTATTTTTATTCTAACATATTCAATGCTATTTTCCTATATAAATGAACTTTGATGAAAAATCAAAATACAGAACTTGAATACACAATTTACAGAAAATCAATCTTGATAAAATTGTTCTGAGCAAGGCAACATAGTTATTTTACATTTTTTGAGAAATCTCTTTCTCTATTGATTTTTATGCTTTCATTATTAATCACACTTGTACTTGGAGCTATCATTCTACAAACTTTTATAATTTGTTGTCTCCATTATCAGGTGTGACTATTTTTGTTGAAATTCTTATATTTAGGATTTCCTTTGTGGATTTGTTCATCCTTTGATTTGTTTAGAGAAGATGTTCATCATTTGATTTATTCAAATGAGGTATTCATCTCAAGTGAGATTCTTGAGAGATGTGTTTCATTTTTTGATTTGTTCAAAGGAGGTGTTCGTCCTTTGATTTGTTCGGAGGAGGTGTTAATCTCAAGTGAGATTCTTGAAATGTGTGTTTTCATCCTTTAATTTGTTTAGAGGAGGTGTTCATCTCTAGTGAGATTTTAGAGAGATGTTTATATTTTTAAATAAGTTTACTGTTTACTGGTTCTTCTGCAAAGTTGATTATAATTTGTAAATTGAATTTTAGAGATAGTAAATGGATTGTTTCTCTCATATTAAAGGTGACAAGAAACTGGATGTAGAATTGACTTGACTCGAACCAATATAAATTACTCGTATACTTTTATCTTTTCTTATATCTCTTTGATTATTTTATCTCGCTTTCGCTTTATTTATATTTAATCCGATAATTAAAATTGAATTAATAAATTATTGGACATCCAAAATAAATTTTTAATTTGTGTATTCATCATTTTAGATGCTATTTGTCTAACAAATATAGATTTTACTATATTTTAAGAGTTTAAAACAATAATTTTTTAGTTTTTCTTAAGTAATGATAAATTAGAGAGAGTGACAAAATGATTTATCTTGTATCTAACTGAATCCTAAAATAAAGAGGAAATTATAAATCATAATCTATCAGTAAGAAATGAGTTAATCCATTATTTGTTAGATATATACAAAATTATATATTTTTGTAAAAATATACTTTAATTATTAAATATTTTATACATTTTTATTTATCATTTATTTAATAAATTAATCAAATTATTATACATATTAAAATATTCAACTATAATATTATATATTTATATATTCTAACCATAAAAATATAATATTTTTAATTTGTAAATATATTTTAAAAGATGAGTTAGCTGGTCCTATTTTTAACCCAATACACAGAACAAACCAAAACTATCAGACCATTAAATCCCGCCAAACCTATTCTAGTTTACTCTCTGTTATTATTGGTGCTGAAAAAACTTATTAAAAACTCATTTATTCAAATAATCATTTTTACTTTACAATTTTTTTATTTCATCATTTAATTACTGAAAATGGTTTTTGAAAAAAATAAAATAAACTAACATCTACTAATAAAATATTTCGTAATAATTAATTTAAAAAATCATATCTCCCATAATTTGTGATAGAATAGTTTTTATCCTAAATAATATACAGTGATTATATATATATATTTTTTAAGTCATGGGTGTAAATAAATCTGATGCATTTGAAACCCTCCTTATTTTTCTTTATTTAGATTAGACTAGACACACTCCAAGAATATCCACTCAACGATGCGGACTTTCTCAGGTAGCCAGTAGATAAATGACACGTAGTCAGAAAGTAGTAGGCAAGAAGGAAAAAGACAAGAACCTCTGTTTTTAACCAATTTTTAAAAAATACTGTTAAAAGTTCAAATTTTATCTATTAAGCTAGAAAAAATATTTTTATACCTATTTTATATATTTCAACAATGTATTTATTCTTTAATCAATTCTCATTTAATTTAATTTGAGACCGTGGATTTTGGCTAATGAACAGATCCCACCATAAACAGTGGACACTGATAAAGATCCTATGCGTCTTTGGAAGGATATTCCAAATGCTTTGGAATTATACTTGTCCTTCTTCTTTTATCTCACTAATGTTTATTTTCATTTATTATTTCAAGAAAGCCAATTTTATTATATTACTTTATTAATTGCAGATTGTTTAAATTTTCATTTTTTTACATCTCATTTAAAAATAAAAATTTCAGATTTATTCTTTTCTTGTATGTTCATAAATTACTCCCTTTTAAAAATACAGGACGTTGTGTAAAGAAAATAAATACATACGAGAATGTTTAAAATAATATTAATTATATTTTATCTTTTAATTATATTTATTATAAAAAATATAAAAATACTTACAAATATTTTAACTAAAAAAATATTAAGATGATAAAGATATTACTAAAAAGTTAATAAATTTATTAAAAATAATAAAAAGCAATATGTATATGAATCTATATAATATAATTTTAAATGTAATGAATTCTAAAATGGATAGAATAAATGGTAAAACTCAAGCAGTTACATCCATTTGTGTAAAGTTTTTAAAATTTCAAATCTTAGACTTAATTTATATCAATTTACCTAATAAAAAAATAATATTAAAACTATTAAAGATATATGTATAGATAAGGTAGCATTCTTATGTGGACAATTATTCAACATTAAAGTTATATGTGATAATGCACTCGTATTTATTAAGGTCAAATTACAAAATGACTAAATCATATAAAAATTGCATAAAAAAATATAAATTCCTAGTATAAAAACATTATCCAGCAGAGGATTACAATTTCATAGAATATATATAACAATTGGTTGAGGAAGTCTAACATGTTTATTAAAAAAAAGTTGAAATTCACAGAGGTAGAAGGGGACAACAACATGTGAGAAACAATCACTCCTCTCTCATTCGTATACAGTGAAAAGTGCACAGTTGAGTACAGCAGAGAAGTACTGTGGTTAGTATGGAGAGAAAGAAAGGAATAAAACCCCAAATATACTCTTTTTACGGATATTCCAACAATACCCTCCGAATATTCCCTCCCCCAACCGTTATATCTATCACCCCTCCCTCTCTCTCCTCTTTCCTCCTCTACACTTCTTCCCTTCACTTCTTCACGTACCAAAATTAAATTTCCCTTCCCATCATTTCCCTAACAGAAAGCCATGAAATTCGGAAAGAGCCTCAGCAGCCAGATCGAGAAGACTCTGCCGGAGTGGCGCGACAAGTTCCTCTCCTACAAGGAGCTCAAGAAGAAACTCAAGCAATTCGACCCTCCGGCCGTGGCCGAAGAACGCCCCGGAAAACGCCTCAAGCCTGATGCCGCCGCCGACATGACCAAGGAGGAGATCGACTTCCGCAACTTGCTAGAGAATGAACTCGACAAATTCAACACCTTCTTCGTTGAGAAGGAGGAAGAGTACATTATCAGACTCAAGGTGCTCTCCTTGGTTCCTCTAATTCTTTTCTCTTTACATATCCTCTTTTCTTTCCCTGCGTGGAAGATCTGTTTGTTGTTGGATTTTTCTATTTTTTTTTTCTATTCAATGGAAAATAAAAAAACTAAATACTAAACTGTTAGGATTTCCTTTTCGTTTTGTAGTTCATGTCTGGAGGAGTTGGACATTATTATTAGCTTTTGAACAAATGAGAGGGTTTTGATATTTTTCGCCTGACTTCTTTTAGCAACTCGTTATGTTATTGTGGTGTTTAATATTAATTAGTGAAGAGACTTGTAGATTCACAAGCTATGAACGTGGATGGATGAAGATTTTTGTTGAGATTAAATAAAATTTGGCGTTTTGATTTGGTAATATGGTGCAGATTCTTATTGCAATTTGGCAATGCCAATTTGTCTAGCTTTTCTTCTGCACAAGATATGACTGTTTTTCTTTAGGTATCTTGATTATTTATAGGTAACCGTAACCGCTGGTTAAGCATATTTATGATCTATTGGTTTTTATTTGGGCTGGTGCAGGGTGAATTATACGATAAAACAGTTAGATAACGCGAAGCTCTAATGTTTGTTATGGTTGGAATATACAGGAGTTACAAGATAGGGTGGCCAAAGTTAAGGATTATAGTGAAGAGATGATGAAAATCCGCAAGGAAATTGTGGATTTCCATGGAGAGATGGTCTTGCTGGAAAACTACAGTGCCCTTAACTATACAGGTACTTTTAACTTTCGTATATATTGTTATATTAACTTATTTTTCTTTATTGATATGGAAGTAAAACTAAATTTGGATTCTTTACATTATAAAACTTAGCCCAAGTTCTCCATAAGAGTTATGGCACTTTTAAGTACAGTGGAAAAATCAAGTAATAAAAGGGAATAGGATTCGTTTCCATTACAGGTTGCCATTGCTCCTGAAAATAGTTATTTTTTATAGCACTTATATAAGTAGAATGGATAGTCAAGTAATAAGATGGAATAGGATTCGTTTCCGATACATATTGTCCATTGCTCCTCAAAATTCTTGGCCAAGTTGGTAGGACAAAGCATATGCTTTTTCTTGGAATAAAGAATCTACTTTGAACATGCCATGTTACTGAAATTGAAGGACTAGCCCCTTTGATACCTTAGGCTTCCTATTCTTCTATCTGCTTGGTAAGCAAGCCAATTCAAGAATAGTTTGTCATGTTTGAATTAAATATGATGGTGATCTTAATATATTCGTTGCAAAGTGTACAAAGGTCACATAATCTTAAAGTATAAACAATTACAGTAGTTTCACTTTTTTTTCTTGCCACTCTAAAGTGATTTGGTTTGAAAATGCTAAAAAGGGACATGGAATATGAATAATATGTGGCTTTCAGGGAGATTTTCTATGATTATTGTATCTCTACTCTGCATTTTTTAGCCGGAAACCAGTGTCAACTTTAGATCAAACCAGCTCTAAAGATATATGCTTGTATGATCAGCCCATGGTTATCTTGAGCATAAATTGAAGAATGTGATATTTATGATATTTCTTTGTTTAAATCAATTATTCCATTCCAGGTATCTAATTATTGCCTCAATTTTCATTCCACAGGGCTAGTGAAAATACTGAAGAAGTATGACAAGAGAACTGGTGCTCTCATCCGCTTGCCCTTCATTCAGAAGGTCTTGCAACAACCTTTCTTTACCACAGACTTGCTCTACAAACTTGTAAAAGAGTGTGAAACAATGCTGGACCGCCTTTTCCCTGTTAATGATCCTCCTCCAGTTTCTGGTGAGACAACTCCCCAAGCTGAAGGTTGTGATCCTTCAACTTCAACCACTACCAAGAGTGATGGTGGTTTGCTGATTCCCAAGGAATTATCTGAGATTGAGTACATGGAGAGCCTTTATATGAAGAGTACCGTATCAGCTTTGCATGTTTTGCAGGAAATTAGAAGTGGAAGCTCAACTGTTAGCATGTTTTCATTGCCACCGTTGAAGATAAATGGTTCAGAAGAAACATGGAAGAAAATCCCGGTTCTTGAACAAGCAGCCAAGTAACCTGCTTGGTTACTTTGAAAGCAAAGTAGTGGGATGACTATTTTCCCATCTTTTCTTTTTTCTTTTTTCCTTTTAAATCGGATGCCTCTCTGTTATGCACGCCTTAGATACTAACACAGTTGTAATATGCTAAATGTAAAGATGGAATTAATTTTATAGAATTATAGGTTCCATATAATAAATCCTCTGAAATTTAAAGAAGTGATGTTTTGACATTTTGCTGACGCACGTACTTTGTTGTAATGTAATTATATATTCCGTATCTGGTTTATATAAGGATGCATTTGGAGATAATATACACTAGTACCCTGTTTCCCCGTGATCACACTCCAAGCTGCACTCAGAAAGACCTTGCCGCCATTAATATTAGTGTTTTCATGCAATGGTGCACTAAGTTTGTGCTCTCGTTTTACTATAAATTTGCGTCAAAAGTAAAAAAAGACGCAGAAGCTATATACAAGTTGCTTCCACGTCTACGGTTCTAAATGGGCATTCTGATGAAGCTGAATATCTATGTTGGAAAACATTTAGACGATTAAAGGTGTGTTTGTTTTTGAGCGTCTACCTCTAATACACGTTTATGTTTGGATTTTTTTTTTTTTTTTCACTCGGTTGGACTGATTTTGTTTTGAATGGGAGTAGAATAAAAAGCAAGGTTCTCTTTAATTTTAAACAGCAGTTATCCTTTCACCGAACAACGTTGAAATCTTTGGATTTGGGTGTTGTTGAAGCTTTATAAATCCATTGTAATTTCATTTCTCTGGTTTTATAACTTGTATATGTGCCGTCAATTCTTATTTGAGTAGATCTTCATTCTTGTTGTTTGTACTTAGTATTCTCTTTTTACTTCCACTTTTTGTGATGATGATTTCTAGTTTTAAAAATTAGTTTTCATTAATAAAAAAAACAAAACCTATCTATTTTAGGGATGAATGATAGTGATTATTCCATTTTTTGTTGTTTGTGCTCAACTTTAAACATGAATGAGACAACAAATAAATGTTATATCTTTTATAGTAAAACAAAATGAGTAAAGATTATGAAACAGTTAAGGCAAAAGCAACATGGGAGAGGAAGACGAAGGAAACTTAAATTATTTATGGCGTTAGTGTTTAAAAGAGAACGGAATGGAAGCACCCTTACAAAGAAAGGGTGGAAAATTGTTGATTTTGAATTCAATGCGAAAATTGGAAGAAAATATGACATGATTCAATTAAAAACATGCAGATAACCTTAAAAAGGAATGGTGAATTTGGCAAAAGCTCTTCGGGCCAATCTAGGACAGAATAGTGAAATACAGTTGATGCATTCAATGAGTTATGGGTTAAAAAACAAATGAGAAGTATAAATCTTTCGTTTGTCCTATATATTGTGTTGATTACTGTTGAAATATTGGCAAGCGTACCAAAATTATCAATCGCAGTATAGTATTTCGATTAAATAAAAATCGATCCCACGAGAAACAGTTTCAATGGAAATTCCCAATTATGCTTACTAAGTAGATTAAAACAGATTAGGTTTTGCAAATAAGAGTTGAACTGAAATTAAATGACAAAGACTTGTAAACTGTTGAGAAAATATCAATTAAAGGTACTTAGGATTGACTTCCTTCCTTATCCCTCTTTTGTAATGACTAAATCAATTAAGAATGTCAATTAACCTAACAATGTTGATGCCACCTACTCAAATCATCCATGTTGATTCCTCACACATGAAATTCATAAGAAAACCTAATAAATGTTGATTCCTCACACAATTAACAGATTTTCCAACATTAGGGTTAAGGTGTTTAAGCACTTGATACATTCATTCTATTCCTGACAATTAACGTAACAAATATTCTTATCGTGATCTAGAGTTCAAGATATATTTTCCAATCATACCTCAAACAATCAGGAATAAATCATTCCAAAGCATAGAAGATAAGAATAACAACATCAAAGCATAGATTAATATATCAAAATATCACCATGATACAAAAGAGTTCAAAGGAAGTGCACCGAATCCTAAGAGAATGAAGTTAGCCACTCATGTTGGCCATTACAATGCTTCAATTGATGAAGATTGGACAAAACCCTAACAGTAGTCGTGTCTCCTCCTCCTCCAAGACTGCTTGCTTTTCTCAAAACACAACTTATCTTTTTATAAGAGAATTTGGGTCAGGCCTCGCATCATTTATTCGCTTAAGCGCTCTTCTTTCTTTCAATTTTACTCCAATTATGTTGAAAATTATGCTCCTTACTCTTGTATCAATGTATTCTCGAATTCATCCTATATTGAGAGAAAAATATATTAGAATTAACATAAGTTAAGTGGTTTCATAACAATTCAAGGCATAATTATATCAACTTTTTACCACTTAACAACTTCCCCCAACCTAGAATCTTACTTGTCCCAAACAAAGTAATTTTTCCAAAACAAAATCATCACCTATTATCTTTTTCTCTTCTAGAACCACAACATAAAAATTTTCAGAGGTGATGCTCACAACTCCAAATGAAAATAGAACACATAAGCATTCAAGTTATAGAAACCAACAAAGAATAATTAGTCCTCAACTATCCTCAGAGAAGCATGATCTCTCAAATAGAGTTATATATACTCATCTCTAATTCTCACAGGTAAGTGTTTATCTCATTCAATCACTTCATTTAGACAATCCAATATTGATAATCATCTTCAAGCAATCAACAATTGTTAAACAAGACTTAAATCAAAAGGTCTTTTGAAGCTTGTAATGGGGCTGAACTAAGAAAGAATTATTGGTTTTTCTGGGATATACAAAAATATTTGAGAAATTCAACTCATATGAATGATTCTTGATTAACAATTTCTCAAGTCAGGTTTCAAACTTTATGTTTTTGTCCCTAACACAATAACAATGAGTTAATAATCTCACAAGTTATTACCCCCCTTTTTACTTTTTTATTTTTTTTGCTTTTGCATGTATCCTTTTTTTGGCTTTGCAAATTTTTAAGCTTTGTTTTTCCTTTTTCTTTACACTTTTTTTTTTTTTACAATAACACCCCAACAATATCTGTAGGACAACAATAGCAATACCCAACAATAAGAAAAATAGTGACATTCATACTCATTTCCTTTCTCAAATATAGGAAGGTAGATAAATAATGTTTAGGCTTAAGGGTTCTGTTTAAGAAACAATATTAATATTTTTTTTTGCTCAGAAATGGTTCAAATGGATGTCCTATAATTAATGCATGGTTGACTATTTGGTTCTGGGTTATATCTATTACAAAGAAAAAATGCCTTTATCATTTTCAAGTCTTGCTAACATGTAATCACATCAAAGAATCAACCAATATCAGTTATCATCACAAAGTGTTGACACTCAATTTATCTGTTTGTGGTACTCTGCTCACCTGGGTTTTGGCTAGCTTCTCCAATTCAGTTAATTCCTAATTTTCCTCATCAATTCCTTTTCACTATCATACTCAATATCCCAAAATCACTTGTTATTGGAAACAATCAAAATTATTTTTCATGTTCTAGATTTGAATTAGACAATAAGCAATAATTTTATATATGGATCTAAAACAAATTATGGGACAGCAAATGTAATCAAAATTTGAAATAAAGCAATTAAAAACATTAAATTAAAAACAAAGGAATTAAAAACATTAAAAGTAAAGTAAGTTTCCTCCCTCATTTTCTTCACTTGTCATGTACTCCTTATCTTGTGCCTCAGCTTCAGCTGCAAACTTTCTCACCCCCTCCAGAAAAGTTGGACTGTCCCCAGGCTATTGAAGTAAGGCTTCAAAGTCTTGAGGAGAAGTGCACTGTGTACCTAGAGCAACTTTGCAAAGAAAGAACCTAAGAAAGAAAAATGCACAAAAAAAACTTAAACTGCAAAAAGAAAAAAACAAATTCAAAACATTGGGTTGCCTCCCAGGAGCGCTTGTTTAACGTCTTCAGCTTGACGCCTATTTGCTTTAGGGCTCATGCAAGTGAGTGATCAAGGTGAAATATACGCATTTGTCTATCTTTTCATTGCGAATAACCTTACAACTGTCAGAGATTGGATAAATCATACCTGCTTCAGGAGGTTTCAGTACCTCTTTTTGAATAACTTCCTTCATAGTCAGACTAAGATGTCTTTGGGGTTGTGCAACATGCTTGTAATCTTGTTTTTCAGTTGAGATGGTTAATTCCTCCAAAGTGTCTATTCTGAGACAATCTTTCTTGTCTTTCAGTTGTTGTACAACTTCAAACAGATTAAAATTAACTTCATCATCTCCACTTCTAATTTTCAACTTGCCCATGTCAACATCTATAATTACTTTGACAGTCTTCATAAATGGACTTCCCAGGATCAATGGGACTTCCTCATTTTCCTCCATGTCCATAATCACAAAATCAACAGGAAATATGAATTTATCCACTCTAACTAAAACATCTTCTGCTACTCCATAAGGAATCTTTACAGATCTGTCAGCTAGCTGCAATGTCATTCTTGTAGGCTTTACTTCCAAGTCTCCTATTCTTTTAAACATAGACAAATGCATTAGATTTATACTAGCACCCAAATCAAGTAATGACTTACATACTTGTAACGTCCAAATTGTGATTGGAATAGTGAAACTTCCAAGGTCCTTGGACTTTTGAGGCAATGATTTTTGGAATATAGCACTGCATCCTGCCTCTAACTCTACTGTTTCATCAGTAAATCTTCTTTTCTTAGTTAAGAGCTCTTTCATGAATTTGACATATGTTGGCATTTGCTCCATAGCTTCCACAAATGATATATTAATTTGCAATTGCTTGAAAATATCCATGAATCTTGCAAACTGTCTTTCTTTATCTATTTGTGAGGGAGCCTTGGGATACGGTAACTTCTTTACAAATGGTTTTTGACTCCCTCCTTTTTCTATCTTCTCTTCGTTCTTCTTATTAGGAATATGTCTTTCTTTATTATTCTCATCTTTTTGCTTTTCATCTTCTTTTACCAAAACTTCTTCTTCAACAACTATATTGTCACCAAT